ATAATAATAATAATAATAATAATAATAATAATAATAATAATAATAATAATAATAATAATAATAATAATAATAATAATAATAATAATAACAAGAACGAGAACTTAAGCAACAACAACAGCAACAATAAGAATAGAATAAACTTTTTACATGAACATATCAGTACGTTCCTGATTCGAGAATCGATTCGTAAACAGACATTCTGACGTTTTAATTATTCGTACATTATGAGCTTTTTCGCGTTTATTATAAAGTTTATCTAAATAGGAACTTTGACAAAATGATTTTTTATGAGAGAAACACTCGTGAACACATATCGGAAATATAACGAATTTCTTTAGAATAAATGTAGCAATATTAGATTGTTGGAGTGTACTAGTCGATATTGTAATTAAACTATTATATGTATGTTGAATTATCTTGGGTCGAATCAAGCAAGGAATTGGCTATTATGACGGGTAAGAATATCTTCAATCGATTTAGATCGTTAGTTTTCTCGACTATCTCGTGTAAAGGCCCGTGTAGTCGTTGAAATGACATAACAACTGTTGATGACTCCTAATACACCGTACAGGAAGCTGACACTTATCAAAGCTAGTAGAGTACAAACGCGGTTATTCACAGATCTCGTTGCTCCTCTTTCATGACTTTACAAATCTAAATGCTGATATTGACGTGCGCATTAAAATTATTATTACCAATCACCATTATACTTATATACGTATGGTAATTGTACCTAATATGGAACTATACCTATTATGAAGCCCTGTAAACAATGTAAATTATCAGACACCATGCAAAATGCTTCATTTATTATAAAACAAAAACAAACATAATTATTTAAATTTGTCTTGAAAGTCCGTTATTGAAAACGGAACATTATTGTATTTGATAGGATTTCAAGATTTTTACAGGCAAGTTGATGGTCAAATTTTTTAGTAAAAGTAAGTTTATTATATAATATTATGAAATATAGTAATCAAAAAATAATATTATATAGTAATATTATATAGTAATATAACATATATTACTTTATATAATATTACTTTAATATTAATTTA